CCCCCCCCCGAACATGTGAACACAGAAACTAAGAATTCTCAAACTCTCATGGAAGTTGTATCGAATAACAGCCGCCTTTTTTATGAACGTCTTGTGACAAAGGCTATGACTTTACAAAAACCACACAGACGTGTACACATTGTCCTGCTCTGTCCGAGAGCTGGAGGAGAGAGGCTGCCATCAGAAAACGGAGTGGTGCTTTGCTGGAAGCGTCACGAATATTAAATAATCAGGGGGGGAGCTGGCTGGGTTTCATCCCATCGAATAACAGCCGCCTTTTTTATGAACGTCTTGTGACAAAGGCTATGACTTTACAAAAACCACACAGACGTGTACACATTGTCCTGCTCTGTCCGAGAGCTGGAGGAGAGAGGCTGCCATCAGAAAACGGAGTGGTGCTTTGCTGGAAGCGTCACGAATATTAAATAATCAGGGGGGGAGCTGGCTGGGTTTCATCCCATTTTCTCCAGGTTCTCCTGTAGGGTAGGAGGTGCCCACCCGATGATCCGTCACCTGTAGGACAGGGCAGCCCGAAGGGGACTGGATTTTTTGGGGTGGATTTTTTGGGGTGGCAACAGCGCTGGGGGCTCCTCCTGCCCCCCGGGGACACAGCTCAGCCTGGGAGACGAGACTGCAAAATGCAGTGTACAGCTGTAGTTGCTAAGGTCGTTGTTCCTGCAGCACAGCTCTTCCTGGGTCAGATGGACTGAAGCCATTTTGGACCATTCAAAAGTCACTTGGTGCTCTATTAAAAAAAATAAAAAAGTCATATTTAGTAGAGGAGATTTTTAAGTTAGACGTTATCAAGCATTACTGCATTCACTATTCTAGTCAGAGTAATACTTTGTTGTTGTTTCTAGGGGATGTGAGGTCTGGTGGTGAGCAGGTTCTCCTTGGCTTTCAAGACTGCCTTCTTTTATTTCTTGGATTTTGGGGGGGATTTTGGCTTGTTGGTGGTTTTGGGTTGGGTTTGATTTTTCCCTGTGATCTGGTCATAAAAAGTGAGGGGCAAAGGAAGAAACAAAAATCCAGCAGTCCTGGCCTATGGTTTATTGAAGTGGTTTGGACTTTCGGAGCTCACTGGTACGGCTTTGCTCGTGTTCCTCGGGGCGGTTTCTAAACCACACACAGTTACTTCTTTCATCATTTCCCTGTAAGCATGTTTCAAGGCCTCTTTCCTCCAGGAGAACTGGAGGTTTAGACCATCACCAAGTGCCACCAGCCAGCTCTCCTGCTTGCTCAGCCGCTTTGTGACCAGCAGCTACGAAATTTGCTGGAATGGGAGAAGAGGCTGCTGGGAGCTGGAGTGAGGTGATTTTGGGGGTGGGATGCCTTCGGGGTGGCCAGGCCAGGCTGCAGTCTGGTGGAAGACGTACCCTGGGAGGGGGGGGTTGTGTGGAGCATCTTGGTTCAAACTCTGAAGTCTCATGGGAGGTTTTACGTGAAATCTGCCAATAATTTGCTAGGCTGTGGCACTCTGGTGCTTCTCACCGGCTTGAATTTATCCTGAACCGGCACAATTTTGGTGTTTTTAGAGGGACACGGGTTCCTCCTGGCATGCCTAGCTTGTTTATAGAGCAGATTCTAAGCAGTATTAATAATTGATACCTATTTGAAGTTGGTTTGTTCTGTGCTACCAAGCTGTCCTTGGCTGGTCCCACTCAGCCTGCCGTGTTGGGTTTCTCCAAGGCAGGGGGTTGTGAGTGGGTCCAAGCAGGTCCCACCCGGCACCTGCCTGGTCCCTCCAGCTCTAAGGGAGCTCTTGCTGGAAGAGAAGAGGAGGAGATCCTGCTCCACCTGGCATGGTCCCCACAGCTCTAAGGGAGCCCTTGCTGGAAGAGAAGAGGAGGAGATCCTTCTCTACCTGGCATGGTCTGCCATCCACATGGACTCCAAAAATCCTTAGTGGAGAAGTTATGTTTCTATAAAGGGCATTTAATTTCAGTAATTTTCACAGATCTGGAGGGGATCTGTGTTTGCCAGGGCAGACTCCTTTCCTTCTCCAACAGAGGCTGGTGGTGTCATGGTTGGGAGAGGTCTTGGGCTCTTGGCCTTGGCTGTTGCAGTGTCATCTCTGACCTCCTCGCCAGGATGTCACCTTGGTCCCCTCTCGGTGCCTTAGCCTCCTCAGCAACACCAGGCAGAGATCTCATGGACCTGACACCGGGTTTGGATGAACCCATCAAGCGCTCCCGATGGAGGTCCTGCAGGCCCTCGGCTGGCAGCGTCGTGGCTCTGCCGAGCTGGGAGGCTGCGGGTCCGGTGGGATGCGGAGCAGAAGTGTCCGTGCCGTTTGCTGGGAGAGCAGGGGAAGGCAGCCAGCCCCTGGGAGCTGGGGAGCAGCAGCAGTTTGCTGCTCTGGAGTTGAACTTCAGGCACCCAACGTCGGTTTGGACGTTGGAAGCGGAGATGTGAGCACGGTGGGCAGGGTTGGGTGACGGCGGAGCATCACCGGCCCCGTCTGCACTCCCTACCGTTATCCTCCTCTAAGGCTGGCTTCTGCTCTCCTCGCAAATTTTAACGGTGTGTGAGCGGCCGAGCAGAGCGATTGAAACAAATCCGGGAGCAACAGCAGAAATAAAACCGCTCTGGGCAAGGGAGAAGTGAGCAAAGTGAGGCCCCACCCTCTTTCCCAGCAAAAAGCACCAAACATGCTCAATAAATGCGAAGGTAATTTAAAATCTGAATCCAGGAGACAATGTGACTAGGATTTCATTACTTAAGCAAATGGATTTGCTTTTAGTGGATTCAGCCACAGACTGAAAGAAGCTTCCCCCAAGGGGTAAACATTTTTCCTGCCTTTGAAAGGCTTTCTGGGGGGTGGGGGGACGGGGGACGCGCTCTGCCCAAGGAGCACCTGGATTTGGGGCAGATTTGGGCATTCCCATAGCTGTCCTTTGGGGCTGGGG